AGCTCAGCATATAAACTTGTTTTCTGTTAAAAAAAATGGAAAAAAAGACAAAAATCATCCTTCACCCCAATAAACTTACTTTAAATGTTTCATTTTTGTTAGCATCCCTTAGAACACTTAGATTTTGCAATATTATCAGGATAGCTTACATACCTACCAAAGACTGTTTTATTCAACCTAGAAACAATAAAATTTGTCCAGAAATTGATCACTTGTAAAAAAAATGGTGGTTTATTTGGCTGGTTTATTTGGGGTTGTGTTTTTTTTTTAAACTACACAAATTTTAATGTGCTCTTCTGCACTGCACAGTTGGGTAAGCCAAACTAAGACAGTATGGAAATACTTGAAAATTAAATTATGAGGTATAGGAAGCAAAATTACTTAATACAAATTGCCCTCTAGAAAAAAGTTAGGAGTAGTCAGTCACCAAATGGAAACTTTTCCTCTCATTTTTCTTTCTTTAATCACATGTGCTAATCCTAATCTATCACTGTTCACAAGCTCTTTCATAATGTCCTGGTTTCAGCAGGGATAGAGTTAATTTTCTTCCTAGTAGCTGGTACAGTGCTGTGTTTTGGATTTAGGATGAGAACAATGTTGGTAACACACCGATGTGTTAGTTGTTGCTAAGTAGTGCTTACACTAGTCAAGGGCTTTTCAGCTTCCCATGCTCTGCTGACTGGGAGGGCTGGAGGTGCACAGGAGTCTGGGAGGGGGCACAGCCAGGACAGCTGACCCAAACTGGCCAAAGGGATATTCCATACCATGTGATGTCATGCTCAGCATATAAAGCTGGGGGAAGAAGAAGGAAGGAGGGGGATGTTTGGAGTGATGGCATTTGTCTTCCCAAGTAACCATTATGTGTGATGGAGCCCTGCTTTCCTGGAGATGGCTGAACACCTGCCTGCCCATGGGAAGGAGTGAATGAATTCCTTGGTTTGCTTTGCTTGCGTGCGCAGCTTTTGCTTTACCTATTAAACTGTCTTTATCTCAACCCACAATTTTTCTCACTTTTACCCTTCTGATTCTCTCCCCCATCCCACTGGGGGGGAGTGAGCGAGCAGCTGTGTGGTGCTTAGTTGCTGGCTGAGGTTAAACCACAACACGTAAGTAAAGCAAACTCTTATCATAAAGGCTTGTATCACACACACCCCCAGTGAACCCATCTAAGAACTAAAATCTATCTACAGAGTAAGGGGAAGCCAGGGAGATATGTGATTTTTTAAAAGAAATAACAATTTAATGTGGCTTTTATTTGGCAATGCATTTCTGATCTTCAAGGGAGGAAGAATCTCAGCTGAGAAATCAAAGCCAAACATGTACTTCATACAGGATGCGAGTATGTGCCGCAGTCCTACAGATTACTCCATTCTCTAACTGAAAGCCAAAGAGCCAGCACTGAAAATGACCATGCTATAGTCAAAGATACGGCTGAAATTTATGAAGACAAATGAGAGTTTTCTCTTATCCATTTCAAATACTAAAAGCAGTTGAGTGCAGAAGGTCACATCAGTAGTATGATGGTCTTTCCAGATTTCTGGACAGGTTTTAGGGTCTCCATGTGACAGCAGCTACACTGCTATCACTACTTAAACTAGTTAGCTTAAAGCTAGCCAAGATTTGTTGCAGTCAAATTTCTGAGAGCGAACCTTTTCATTCCACCTACACTGAAGTATCATACTGGGGCGGGGGGTGGGGGCTGGGGTTTGTTTAGGTTTTTTCCCCAGAGAGGTGAGAAGGATTTCTTCTGCATTCTTTCTAACTAGATACCACCTAGACACTTACTAAAAAGAAAGAAGGAGAACTGCAGGTGCTAGATCCAAGTTACCAAGAAAATAAGGATATTTACATATTAAAAAAAGGTTGTTTCATAATACAGAAACCTGTTTGCTTGGCTGCTTTCTCTTTTCCTTTAATTTTTGGATCAGTGATGGGAAGGGAAAAAATCAAGGTCAAGTCACTTGTTTAGGAGACTGGAAACACTAAGGGAAGCTAGTTGCATGTTAGGAAGACATGTTCAGCATGTTAGTTCACATGCTGTGGCTTCCTCATGTGTGCATATGTCTAGGCATCTGCTATTCATAGCAAAACCAGGAATATTACATATAGTAGTTAACCTTTGACAGCAGCTCTGTTCACACTCGCAGAGTTAGTTCCTGGCTCTCTACTCAACAGCCACAGAGCTCTGTTAAACAAGGAGGCTACTGTACCTGTAGGATTTTGTGGAAGGGACAAGATAGGGAGGGGGAAAACACAACAAATAATCCCCAGACATACAAACCTACCACAATAGGTTGTCGGAAATACTCATCCACAGCTGCACTGCGCAGACTGGACAGGTTGACCCCATAAAAGCATTCTTGGTACCTAGAAACAGTAACACATAAAATACTTAGGGAAAAATGTTTTTTCTGGTTTCCAACCAGACCCAGGCACAATAACTGTAAATGGCAGGTGAAGTGTGGCTAAGCACCT